TTGAAATATCAACGGGAAGTGAACGTAATACAGTTTCAATTTAAATAACATAAAAAAAATTGTAGCTGTTATAGGTATGTAAGAGCATTGTAATTTTGAACGATATAGAATCACAAATGAACAATTATAATATCCACTCAGCACCAAAATAATTACTAAATAATATTTATGCCCGATGCTTCTCCCTTGTGATGGTCGATTTTTGCAGTCAATTCAGGTATTCTCCTTTTCTGAATGAAAGGTACTTTATATCGGATCCCTTTTTGTTTTTTTTTTACGTGAAAATCTTTTGAGACATCCGGACCTGAGCGCAATAGAACGGATGAATTCTCTATTTCGGTGACGTACTGCAAACGCAGACATCGCACATAGAGGTATTTGACCCAAAAAGCTGGCCAAAAATATTTTTGGTCTCGAACGAGGCCTACGGGTATCAATAATAACAAATAAAATTTTCTATCATTGATTTCATATAACATACAACATAATATTATTACATATCGTCATAATTGTTTTTGTGTGTGCATGAACTATTGTATTATTGCACGTGTATTATTATTATTATCAGTTTCTGAATATAAACAACTAGTTGTCGGTTCGGATGTTAGTAATAATTTCAGTGTTTGTGGAAGGGTTTTGATATATTTTTTGACACTTTTCTTAAGCTGGTAATGATAGGAACTGACGTTAATAAGTCTGTTTATAACGTCAAGATTACATGATATATGGGAAAAATGTCTCTAATAATTTAGCCTCTAATCTCTAAAATGTTCCTGCCTCTTCTGAGAGCCGACCGATTGCTAGTAGAGCTGATCAAATTACTTCTGCCCCACGTCGTAAATTTAGTCAGGGGCATCGGATGCCGTTCATATATCTGAACATATACTTCTTCAGTTTCCCTTGCATATTTTTCGAATGCTTTAACGTTAAAATCAACGTCCACTCGACAAAGCTTCCAAGATGATTTTGAACCTATACATTAGATTTGCGTCTATGCCAGTTAGTGTGGCAGACAATTGATGGTCCGAGAAAAATCGTTTGCTAGTATTGCTATCATTGGAATTACCAAAATTGGCTTCAGGAATTGGGTCTGAGTGGAGGTCTTCCTCCCGGGCCCTCTCCACCGCCTTCTGTGAGATAAAGTCTTCGCAGAATGATGCGACCGCGGTAAAACATCTTTCGCTACCGACCATGCAGCTGACAACTCTCTGATGACTGCAGTGAGGGCCCGACGCTGCGTTGCCTGAGTGGAGCAAACCGCAAGCGTGTGTTGAGCCGAGTCCTCACTGTAGTCGCAGTGGACAGGCGGGAATCACTTCCCTCCTAGCGACCGAGTGCAGGTACTTCCCGAAGGAAGGAGGGAAAGGGTCTCGTGCTGCCGCGCTGCCTACTAGACGATGACCGGCTGGAGCGCCTTCACGGCGGCAAAACCAGTACGTGGAGCCGTACGAGCGGCCTCACGGCCACGCGTACCTATTCGACTATGTTCGAACCCTTTGACCAAGTCTACCAAAATTTGATGATCGGCTTACTAGTCACGGCATAAAAGCTTATCAAACAAACAAACTCACATTCGTATTAATAATATTAGTTGGAACTGTTTAAAGTCAGAGACTGTTGCACAGGGTACATAAAAGTGCTGATATAATTTACTAGACACAAATAATTCAATTTGTAACTACGCAGAACAGCAACACTGCAAAGAGAAGGAAAACTTGAAACAAACCCTATACCAACCCGTCTGGCCAGCGTGGTATAGTAGGCCAAAACCTCCTTTCTGAGAAGAGGCCTATGTCCAGCAGTGGACTAGTAAAGGCTGTTGATGATGATGATGATGAAATAATTCAATTAGCTACATGTCCGGAATTTGTAATAATATTTAGTATCATTTTATTAGTATTCTGGGCAGAGATACTCTATTACTAAGATGATGATGATTTTGCGATAAATTTACTAGAAGTAAAACTTAAAATACTTAAAAACTTAAAATATCATTTTTTTGCACGAGCCCATTTTTCAGTTTTGTTTGTTGTTTTTGTTTTTTATTTACTTTACCGGTATTTTTTCTGTAATAGGTAATATTGTTAGGCTAATAAGAACCCAGAGGGCAAAAATACTTTAGTTTTCATCTAAACGCTTCCTTTTTAGTCAAACAAAGGGTTGGTAACCCTAGATGAGGGCAACTCCTCTCTCTCTCTCTTATTTACTTTAAAAATAAACACAGACAATTAACTCACAACTTTGAAATAGTAAAAATGAAAATGTTTATTATTCTGAGTCCTATTTAAATAATGCTATTATAGCTTTGTTGGCAGTTCCCATTTGTCCGATCTCCTTTAATACGTTTTTATAGTTGGCGACTAGATGGAAGAGACTCCTCCGTCTCCTAAGGAATTCCATCATCTTTATGGGCTGTTCTCAATATTATTTCAGGTTGACGCCATGTGTAATAGAATTGCGAAAGGTTTTGGCTAGTTCCTTTCTTTAATGCCGCCCGCCTGTCTACGTTTTCAGACAGGAAAATTTCATTGGATTGGCAATTGGATAGGGCAAGGGAGTAGAACGAGGTGCCCCAGGTTTTGAATAGAACATGGAACTGATACTGAGTAGCTTGAAGAGGCCTGGGCCGCGTACCTGTACTTATATGATGTGAATAGAGAAGCCTCTAGGAAAGGGTCATCAACACACTGACCATACATATAGCAATTTGTATATAATGTACTACTGTCACTAACACTACTTAAGATTTGAAATTCAAAATATTAGTGATAGATGTGATATTCTTTTCTTTAAGAATCAGTAGCGCCTTAATTTTCAATAAGAGGTCCATGTTTGCATTAACGGTAGAACAGAGCGAAAGTCTTTACTTTCGTACGTTCTATTTTAATTATCTAGGTTCCAAATTAGGAAAAAATATTTTACGGATGTTAAGACACGAATAAATTTACACACAAATTCAAGCAGACATACACAGATCAGTAAAAAGCATTTTATTTTTCAATTGGCAGCATGTTAGCAGTTAATCAATTTTTTTAATAACAACCTTTTTTAAACAGAAATATCATGTAAAGGATAATAATTATAAAAAGACAAAAAAAACAACCATTACATATTTTTATAAAAACATTTATATGACATCGTCGTCTTACTTTGGACTTTACACTAGTTTATAGGCACATAGTTGAGACTAGACTAGATTTTTCCAGTTGTACTTGTCTGCCGTGAAATCTAAATATAATACATTTTATTTCAACTTTCTCGTCAATGTGAGAAGTTGTCACTTGATTATTAGGTCAATTTACAAAGAGAAGTAAGTACTTACATCATTTTTTTTTTATATATGGTACGAAAAAACGTTACTAATAAGTATTAAGTAAACTTAAGCGTATTTGGTAGGTAGTTCTAAACTCTTACAAACAATTAGATCCATTTAAAAGCACCTTATGTAAAAAAACTCATACAAATCACATATAAAATCAGTAAATAAAAATATCAAAAATATTCTTCACCTCCAAGATAGTTAATATTCAATCGCCTTTGATGATAAGAATTCTCTATTTACCACAAACACAATGCTTACATCTTTATCTCTTTGTTCTCCACGTCAAGCAAGAAAGAAACGCCTGCCGCATAACCTTTGCAGAATGAAATAATAAAAGTTACGGCTCCTTTCAAGTATGTTGTGCATGTTAGAAGGAAGTTAGACAATGTACAGATATTGAAATATAATAAAGAAATACATAAATCCCCGTCGAGTCCGAAACTATATTTCGTTACTTATGTAGCTTTACCTAAACATCTTAAATATTAATTAATGAACCACATTAATGTTTTCATTCTAAAACAGTTATATTTAAACTAGACTTGCAACGAATAGTATATTCGGCAGTATACCGAATACCGAATATTCGGCGAGGCCCCTGACCGAATAGCCGAATATTAGGCAAAAGTATTCGGCTGGATTTTAGCGCCAAAAACTTGTACAGACGTGAATTAAATTATGTACCTGTTTTATGTACCAATGACTACTTAATAAATGATTTTAAAAGAAATGAGAACCTTACCCTTCTAAATTTTGATTACCACAATAATTCAAATACATAGGTACAATCCTCCATTTTTCCAATTCAGAAGATGATTATGTACCTGTTATGCACCAATGACTACTTAAATGATCATAACAGAAATGAAAATATGAATATATACGTAATCAATCGATTTTAATTTTTCATTTTACCTATTATTATCAATGACAAAATATATTATTTAAGTATTCGGTATTCGGCCGAATAATATGTAGATATTCGGTATTCGGCCGAATATAATAAAAGCAGCCGAATAGGCCGAATACCGAATAGTAACCGAATATTCGTTGCAAGTCTAATTTAAACTAATATTATTAAATTATTTATATATAGTATTAAGCATATCCTATTGTATATATCCATTCTTGTCTGTAATAGTACGGATAAGTTGTCTAGGGAAAGATTTTATGTGTTGAAAGAATTCAAATTTTTAGAACATAAATAAGTTCCTATGTCCTATAATATACAGGCATACAAGAACTAATCTAAACTAAAGTTAGTTTAAATATAACTAAAACAAATTAATACTTTAAGTAATTTTCAAGAATTATCTAAGTATACCTTAGAGTAAGATTAGATTGCAGATGCAAAATAAAATATTATTATCAAAATACTTCACAAATTCATAAGTATTCGTTTTAGTATATTTTCTTCAGGAACGTCCAGGAAGAATCTTATATTTCATAATATATTTTCCATACCGAAAGAATTCTGCAAAAGTAAGTCGTGTTTAAATGTAGAACATAATACGCAACAGTAGGTACATAATATATCCAATTCGATTCAGTATTCTACCACGTCACTTCACTCCACACCAGCTACTACTTATTTGTTTTACCCAGTTTTTTTTATTATACCTAGTGCTATGAGATTACGGTCTCGTTTGTAATATGTACTTCTTCGGTTGACTTCGTCTCACTGTCTAGCATTCCTATCATTCATTGACATGGCCACCTCAGTGTGTTGCACGACATTTTCTTCGTCATCTTCGAAAGCGAGATGTTTTTCTACTGCTCCTGATATGAACTTCAGCCAGCCATGTCTATGCATTGCTTTTATCACCCTTCGGCGGAAAACGACGAGTAGTAAGAATATTAATATTCCTTGCAAGCAGTTGAACACGTCTATTATTGACCTGTAAACAAACATCCGGTATTTAGTAATGTGGCACTTTCGTAACGAATAAGTAGGTATATCTGATTATATAGACTGCAGTTCGAGACAAATTATTGCTATACTTGGTTGCCAATGTAGTGTTATTCATTTTTTGATAAAAAGCAATCGAAACCTTGGCAGTTCTACCTAAAATGCACATAAGTATATTACTTGCTTTTCTATAAAAAACGAAGGTGGCGAACGGCACCCGGCCGCTCGATGAAGTGGATGACTGGGTGGCGATTCGGCCTCTTTTGTTTTGCCTACCAAATTACACTACGAAGTAATAGCCAACATCACTACACATCGCTTTTAGTGGCTATAGTTATAATATAAATCAGCTCAACATCGTTTTAATTTTAGATTTACTTCAAACATGAAAAGTAATGAACCAATTAGAAATATAACTTCGAATGTTTTTAAGTGAACAACTTCATGATGTAGAATTCTGTGTTCTGCGCCTATATAGTTACTACGTAAAAATTAGTACACGTAGAAATTCGATGTAAAAACAGTAAGTGTCTCTATTTTTCTAACCGATAAATCTCTTATAAATTTATAATATTATAAATATTTGAATATTTGATGTTACCTCCTGACACGTATCCTCAGCTTTTACAATAACCTTCGATTCATCAACAGCTTATAATAGTCAACTGCTGGTCATATGCCTCTCCTTGGAAAGGAGGTTTTTGCCTACTATACCAAATCTTTACCAAAGTTGTTTTACACAAGAACATAGTAAATCGGCTATAATTTATTTAAATACCTAAGGCATGCAGCACTGATGTTACGGACATATCTAAAGGTATTTCACGTAAAGCGATGTAGATCATTGTAAATTTTGATACAGAAAACGATATCCTACTACATTGTTTTCTGATGTAAATATCAACAATTTGTATACTTTTATCAACGGTCCATAACGTCATATTTTGTTCCAAGTAGAATAGCGAATGGCGTCTAATAAACAACAATAAAATCTAATATTCAAACCAACTACAATATTTGTAACTAAATACGAAATACTTACACAAAAAATAAGAAGAATACCAAAATCGTATTAGAACCTATGAATTTTAATATCCCAATTCGCCATGAGAGTTTGTTTAGTAGTGTATATATGTATATACATATGTATGTATTCAAAATTTTGTGAAAGTCTTTTTACAGTAAAATAAAGTTTCTTTTTATTATTTTCAGCGGCAATTCCTTGCTACGATACAAACAATTGACTCATTATATTATGTCTCCGAATTCCTTAAAAGAGGTCTTGTTCTGTCTGCAGACGGTATTCACGTATGATGTAATCGGTGTCTGTAGTCGTTACGTTTTAAGTCACCCGTAGGAAGGACGGCGGCACGGAGTGGCAAGGCTTTCGGCAACATTAACATGAATTGCCTTTTTTCAAAAGTCACATTCCCTCACGTTGAAACCTCAATAATTTCAGATCCTTTACCGAGAATTTCAATTTACCAATTATACTCAGCTATTTGTATAATCGGATGTATTTGTTTCTCCCATGTGTATTCAATCATTTGATTGTGTAATCCGGTGCATAAATTGAAACAAATCATTCCTGATTGTGGAATTAAACTCAAGTCAACCTATTTACCTTAAAGTTAAAGTTAACATTTTTAAATCTGAAACGTTAAGCGATCTGCAGTGAGGAAATCGAAATCCTCGAAATCTACATATTTGCGTACTAAATATACCCGACAGCATAAAATAAGTAGAGTTTGCCCTGAGTTAAACGCCTTGTTTAAAAACAAGAACCAAAACAATAGTTAACAATGCTTGTTCCTGTTTAAGGGTTCGAACTAATGTACCGTTGAATGCACTTACTTCGATACTACAAAAATTTCATGTTGTAAAACCACTGTAGAGTTTTATCTTTAGTTTTCATGTTTACTTTTTATTACTCATTCATTTCATCCATGAACTGTAATGTTTATTTTTACTTATAATAACTAGGTGCACACGTTGACGACAATTTCTTGAACGTGTTTTAATACCTATTCTTATTTATAGTAATATTTTAAAGGCCTGCGAAATTATAAGATTTTGTTTATGTCCTAATTGACAAATAGCCCTTCAAGATATTCAGACTATATTAATTAATATTCACACTTGCACATTCAATAGTGGTCAAGTCACATCGGCCATAGTGGCTAGAGTGGCTAGAAGTACAAAAAAAAATTAAAGAAGTAGTTATAGCAGTATGTTTAGCGCCGGGTCATTATGTCAATGGTGTCTAAAACAAAAAAATACATTGCTTACGCACGCACAATAAGAGAGTTACAAACCAAATTATGTGGCTGCCAGCCGAAGATCCGATCATTTCAAACACCCAGGGCAGACCCATCAGTATAACAAGGCGTGAGCTCATAAGCAACCTGAGGATAAAACAAAATAATTGGATGACGATGATGATAAATAATTATTAATGATGTAAATTCATAAATGAAGAAATGACAACAATAAATTTATGGGTTTAAACTTCAGAATCTTAAATGTTCTTTAAAAGATAGCAGAATTTGACCAGTGCCAATAGATAACTTTTTGGCTAAAAGTATTTAATCGGATGTTAATTGTTCCTACCGCTATACGGTAGGATGGTAGTGTGGTACACTTTACAAGGGCAAAACGTCTATATGCTAATGTACACTAGTTTACGACTACGCTCCGTTTATAAATATTTTGAGGACTTGAGAGTACAAGAAGCCAGTAGTAATTGTGCTGATTTACTTTTAAGTAAAATAGTAAAGTATTTTTATGGCCAAAGGAATTGGTCACTTGATGGTACTACCACCGCCCATGAACACATGTAGCTCAAGAGACACATATGTGTAGGTTTTTTGCCCAATTCTAATTTTAATTTTTAATATATTACTGATTATTAAACTACTTTCTGTAAATGGGTAAATTAATGAAACAGACATTTATGTAAATCGCGCTATGAATATTTAATAAGGTCATCTGTACCTATACGTGATAGCAAACCTTCTAGTCTCTACGTTAGAGCAAGGCGTTCACTTTTAGCTTAGGTAGCTAACAGACAGACTCACTTGTATTTTAACGCTTTCAGGTGACTTGAGGAGAAGTTGAGACGACATATTATTATGGATACATAGATGAATATGGCGATGTTGGCAGTCAGTAAAAGAGACATAACGCTGAACAAATAGTACCACTGTTGATGGATATCTGAAAATTAGAAATTAAACTGTAGTAAAACATTTCTTTAAAACACTGGCTCCATGCCTTCCTATAATACTGGCTTTAGACCACTTTGAACTAATTTTATTGAATTTGTAAAAATAAAAAATCTGAATAATATTTTAAACAAAATTGTACACATACTGTATATATCTTATCAATATGTTAAAAACTTACTAAAGAACCAGCAGTGTTGCAATCCAATACCAGGTTTCTGGTGATTACCAGGGTGGAAGTTTACGATGGCCATACAGATGGTGAGAACAGTAGGAACCCCCCAAGCATATACGAAATACCATTTAAATTCATGCCAGCTGTAGTCCAAAGTCGTTGGTCTCCTAAAACTATTTATTATTGTCATTATTTTTTATTGAATTTCCTATGCAGTGTACATATACCCCCGAGGTATTAATTTTTTTAACGGTATTGTGAAAAACTGTTGTACTTACCTTGTATTTAACAGGACCTGTATAGAAATAGCGTTCGTCCAAAAGAAAGCGACCATTAGAAAAAAATATGCCAAAAAACCTGAAAATTCATACCATTATTAAGGTTAAAATTAAATAACCTATGACATTTCGAAACTGGTTGTAAATATAAAATGTTGATACGTATTTTCAGTCATTGTATCATTAGGGCAAAGAAAATATGTATGAAATACTACCGGACCCGACAGACGTTGTCCTGCGCACACGTCTTAAACTAAAAAAACATATTGTAGTGGACCGAATTGTGAATCTATACCATTCTCAAACCCACTTGACCACACACAAAAAATCATTAAAATCGATCCAGTCGTTTAGGAGAAGTTCAGTCATATAAACAGCACCGAAAGGATAATATAAAGACTAGCTGTACCCTACCCTGCCACGAGTCGCTGTGGCACATTGTGGTTGCATTGATTTCAATGGGAAACAAAACTGACATGAAAAATAGATAATAATAATCTTCGAAGCGGAAATTTGAGTTCAATTTGAGTTGATGAGTTTTTGAGGTGTAGGTACACAAACCAACTTGACATTTTTATATAAGTATAGGTAAATGATTGATATTAGGCGGCTATCGAACAGCTCACACACAAATAATTATTTTTAAAGTCACGATACAGAATGAGGATACTGTTATAAATTAATACTTCTTCGAAAGTCGAGATCAAGTCGTTGCAAACCGTGTTATATACTTTTAAAATAAAATCAGTCTAATATAATATGTCAGGTATGGTTATGTGTTATCGGTACATGTTTGTCATTTACATTACAAACTATTTTTTCATATTGACATTGACTGATAGTATGTAGGTATTGCGTATTGGTATTGGTAAGTGCGTTTAGGTTTAACAATACTTGATCATTGACCTTACAGCGAAACTCGTCCCGCTTGATATACTTTAGCGATTTTTTTCTTCTTGGAGACTTTGAAAAAAACCGGTTTTTATTCCTTACCAGCCAAGGATACACATATAGTTTGAGGCGAACTATGAAATGACTGTCTGTATAGCTACAGTAAAAACTAAAAGGCTACTAATCTAACCTCTTAAGATTCAGATTTTGTCTTAAATTATTTGCGTTTCATGTGCTTTAGTGTAACCATTTTAAACTACCCGATGACGATCAAGTACTTATATGAAATATTTATATGATTTAAAATATTTAAATTGGCACAATGATGCCCCGGGGAATTTAGAATTAAATGCTAACAATACTTCAATATAGTGCGTATGAAGCGTTAACAACAAAAAACAAACAGTTAAAATATTACAAAATTATATCTAAAGTTAAAAACTGAGTTAAACAGCGCCTGTTTATTTTCAACATAATATGCTCTACGTGGTACTGAGTTCATACAGCCAATATAAACACATCCAACCAACCTACCGATACAAAACTTGTACAGATAAAAAATGGATAAACTATTAGATGCAGACATTGGACGGTGTACCGATTTAGGTAGTGACGCGCCCAGGCAATCTTGTTTATTTTTTCCTTCTTGATGGTTTTAAATTACGCAATTTAAGTGTTGTCATTGCGTAGAATTATGTAAGACGGCTGACATTATAACAGGTTCTGTAGATAATATATGACGATAAATAAGAGTGTTCGTACATAGGAGTGTATATTTTTATAAATAGGGGCAGTGGGGAAAAGAAAACGATTAAAGTGTCTGTCTCGACTGTCTTGATATTGAGTTTTGAACACAGCTCAGTTTTAGCTCTGGAGGAGTAAAAATAATTAAGAATAAATAAAAATAGTATGGAACTAAAAAAAAGTACTTTGAATAGTTTTGTTTCAAACTATCCATTGCGGGCTCCGCCCGCGTGTTTGTCGGTTTTCGCGGTAAAAAGTAGTCTATGTAATTTATCAAGAATCAAACCATATTATAAAGACACCAGTAGTGTAGGTACCTTACACTATTCTCACACATCTAATTTACACACTTTAATATTATTTAAATTTCATTATTTTACACTTATTTATTTATATATACAAAGGTAATTTCGATACTGGATGGTCGATAATTCATCTCGAATATTACCGACTGGGTCGGAAACCTATTACCGCGCATGCGTGGGATTGTTGTGATGTCGCTTAGCTACGTTGAACGGTGACATTTTTCTGCCTTAGCTAATTTTAATGTATTCTCAAGACTTTGGACTTTGAGTTGGTTTGGTTGGCGTGCTTTCTTCAATTACTACTGCAAGATTGTATACCCAAGTTTTAATTAAACATTATATTGTTCTTGACGTGTTTGTGATCTAATAGAGCGGAGTTATCCTTCTGATATACCTACACCCATTACCTACATACCAAATTGCATCTAAATCGGTTCAGCGGTTTAAACTTGGAGAGGTAACAGACAGACAGACAGACACACTTTGGTATTTATAACATCAGTATGGATAAGACTGTATTAAATATCTTCTCCTTATAAAATACCAATATGATTTTGTAAGTACGAATGAGCAGGGACCGATAAACAGTGTGACCAACTGTTATATTTTGTACCTACACGTTTAAAAGACACGTTGTGTACTTACCTCGTGTGGCACACAAAGACATATCAGAGTATTCCATTAATTTCATAATGGCTAATATTCCCTTAGCAATAGCCAAACTCATGCAGAAGTTTATAATACTCTTTCCTTGAATATCTCTGTAAAAAATATTTTGAAATTGTAAAACTTTCAAAGATAAAATGTATATAAAGATATGTATGTAAAGATAAAATATGTGCAGTTTCGTATAAAACTTTATTTCCATTGCCTTTTTAAATTACCGTTTTATAACCATTACCGTTTTACGAGGGCGGGTTAATAAGTCCGTGACTTTTGGAATAAAACACAGATTTTTTGATAAATAAATCATTTCATTTTTCAACGTAGTCTCCCTTGAGCTCTATACACTTTGTCCAACGCTTCTCCAATTTGGCCTCCAATTAGGCCTTTGTTTGCGAGATGACTTCATCATCTGAGTCAAATCTTTTTCCACCAAGCCATTTCTTCAGGTTTGGGAACACGAAGTAGTCACTCGGAGCCAAATCTGGAGAATAGGGCGGATGAGGGAGCAATACATAGCCCAATTCCTGGATTTTTGCCATGGCAACTGCACATGTGTGCACCCTTGCATTGTCTTGGTGGAAAAGAACTTTTTTCTTGGCCACATGAGGTCGGTTTTTTTTCAAATCGTCATTGAATCGGTCCAATAAGTTGTCATAATATTCCCCATTGATTGTTCTTCCCTTTTGAAGGTAGTCAATGTGGATTACCCCGCGTGCATCCCAAAAGACAGTCGCCATAACTTTATTGGCTGACAAACCCACCTTGGCCTTCTTTGGCGCCGATTCACCCTTAGAAACCCACTGTTTTGACTGTTGTTTGGTCTCTGGTGTGTTGTGATGGATCCATATTTCGTTTACGGTTACAAAACGGCGCAAAAACTCCTCCATATTGCGATTAAACAACGCCAAACCTTCCTGTGAAGTTGTTACACGATTGCGTTTGTGGTCGACTGTGAGAAATCGCGGCACCCATCTTGCGGAAAGCTTTCTCATGCCCAAGTGATCATTCAAAATTGAAACCACTGAGCCATGCCAGATCCCTACGGCTTAAACAATCTCTTGCACTTTTAATCTTCGGTCGGCCAACACCATATTGTGATTTTTTTCGATTGTTTCGGGTGAAGAAACCTCAACTGGGCGTCCAGGACGTTCGGCATCTTCAGTGCTTGGACGGCCACAACGAAATTCAGTAAACCACTTTTTTACCATTGAAATCGATGGTGCTGAGTCTCCATAGTATTTATCAAGCTTAGCCTTGGTCTCGGTAATGGTTTTTTTTGGCAAAAAATAATGCTTAATAAGCACACGAAATTCACTTTTTTCCATTTTTTCCTCAAATTACTGGGTAGTCTGATAAAGATAGCTGTCAAACACAAACTAACTGACGCAGCAAGTTCAAATTTTGACAGGAGTCAACTGACAGATGCCTGTTGACAGGAGTAGTGTTGCTTTTTCAGTAAAGAGGTCAGAAATTCAAAAAGTCACGGACTTATTGACCCGCCCTCGTACATAAAACTTTATTTCCATTACCTTTTTAAATATTAGTTACTTAAATAATAATAATAATAACTTGAGACTCATGATACACGGCCGTCTGATCCCAACCCAGGCAGAATCCGTTCTTTGGTAATCGGACTGAGATAAATACACTATAGAAAAATTACTCCCCGACACAAAACAAATGATCGCGCTTACATATCCCACAATTATTTGCTTTGTTTGGGATCGAACCCTTTGGCTCAGCAGTCGTGACAACTAACCACTAGAACAAATCAAAATCTCGCCAAACCTGAACTATAATCTGTGCTTTATGCTTTTTCATATTTTATCCGTTGATCCTTTTGGGTAATGGGTATATGAATTTATCTTTTATACAGCAATAATGAAAGAGAAATACAGTCATATAAACTTACCCATTACCCAAAATGGGTCGACTAAATGAACCCATTACAAAATAATGTTGTTGTTTTTTTGTCACCCTAATAGTCTAATGTCTTTATCCATCTTGTGTATTATTGTAGACATTAGTTTAAATTGAAAAACTGCCACCTCTACTAAAAACTTACTGCTACTAAAAACTTGTAGTGTCTGATCACACTATTTTACATCGATGATAATATTGTATTTTGATCAATGCATTAAAATTTTATTTTTGTGACAATGAATTCACTGAATGTAAGTGCCAAAGTACTATGATGGATATAGGATGGGTGGCATTTCGAATGTCTATGTAATTACAAGTTCATTTTTTGTATATCAAACAATAAGGCCAGAGGTAGCCGAAAGGTATAATGATATATAGTGGGGTATGCGACCGTTAAGTGAAAACGGTAAATTCGAAATATTTTGCTACGTAATGTGTGTCTTGAAATGCCGCCTAACTTTTATTATCTTAAAAAAACATTAAAACAACATCGAAAATTTTAAGATTATGTATATGTATTGTCACTCAGAGGAATCTATTTGACATATATTATAGCTTGAAAATTTACACAATTCAATACGATTTCTCATAATTGTCTACCTAATACGGAAATAAATGTAATAGTATTAATAATACAACAATAAACTAGACAAAAGTCAATATTGCATTTATCATGTTCAAGGCCTTACGTAATACTTCTTGATTGATTTTTATAAGTCTAAACTGAAAAATATGTTTATTTATAGTCTTCGACACAGCTAACGTATATTCAGTCGATGAATTCATTCCATGAAAATGCCACGTAATAAGCATTTCAAAAGTTTGATGCAAATACTTTTGAAATTGAGATTTATTTAAAGTTCTTAGTTCTACTAAGTTGAAATAAGAAGAAGACGGAAGAATAATTATCCGTAGTTCTTGTAAGCTCTTTGAACAGAGTATAGTAAAGCTCAGCTTCTCGCATGCCTTTATGCAAAAAATTGTGCCGACGCGATATATGAAACTATTGGCATTCCAAGACCCTTTCAAATAAAAAAATGGTCTCCTTATATCAAGTAAAAAATTACAACGTTCTGATAATGTTTTGGTTCGGCCGATTCTTGTAATTTTTATAAACTTCATATCTATCTACTAATGTCTATAATATGTGAACATACTAATGCCGGTGGCAACTGCCTCTCTACCGCCAACTTATTACGACTCCCTAACTCACTACTTAGATCTAACGAGTCCGCTTCCACTTCCTTGTTCTAGTACACAAATGTAAGACAGTCGAGTCTAAAGTGATAGCCACAGACACAAATTAGTTTACAAGATTATTATTTTTGTATACTTATTTCCATCGAATTGAATAATAATTGAAAAACACTTTTAAGTAATACTCGTAAAACTAATATCTTACCTGAGTTCTGGTAACGCAGAGTACACAATAGCTGTTGGAACGAGGAATAACAATGAAACTATCATGCAGTATCCCACTACCCTGTCGTCGAGAATTTCTTTATCTTCATCTGCACATACTACAGCCCTCAAAGATATTCTTTTAAAAGACACATCTCTTATTTGGGTCAAATTGCCTAAACAAAATCTGCAAAAAAGGATTTTTTCTATAAATGTGAAGAAAATTCTGACAGAAACTACAAGATTTAACACATCTGGACCAATCCTGATATTGGTTTTACTTTGAACTAATAACCTACATCGGAATTTAAGGTCCTTACAAACGCAGGTCCAAGACCTACTATTACGTTTTGCTAATATCTATTAGTACGAGTAATAACAAGTCAAACTTGCTTACGAATGATTCTTTACCCTCAGTTTGTTAATAAATAACTTACAAACTTTAGGAGAATAATTTTTAATTTAATTATAATTTAATCTTTATTTTTCTTTTTTTGTGTATATTTTGTTCGGAACGGGTTTGCTGAACTTAAGCTAAATCCAAAAATAGACCTGCAATTTTTTTGCGATTGAATCAGCAACTAACACTACTTAACACATGCTCAAAAAATATCAATTACTGCTGTTCTCTATTTTGAAAATAATGAAATATGGTGTACATCTGTTTGTTATAGGCCGTTTACACGCATGGCGAGCCTTCACAAGTGTCCACAAACACAAGCGTGTAAACGGGGTGTTTGGCTCGGCTCGCGTATGCTCATCGTTGATCGGTACTAGTGTCGGTTTTTGAACACAATATATCAAAGGCAGCTCGAGGCAAGCGTTTGCGACGTATTTACACGTTGGCGCGTGATTGTTCCCTACTGCTCAATTTGATATTACAAGTATTGTAGTTGAACAGTCGGAATTCAAGTCTCAGTGCTCTACTGATTAAGCGGTTTAGTTGAGAAGTAGGGCTAGAGATTTTTTTGGTCGTTTTTAGTTTTAATAAAAATATGTCAACGTCTGCTATATTTGCCTGTCCAGAAGCACACTTGTAAAGACTTGGAACTTATGGACGTTTGCCAAGCCTCGGCACGCTTGCAAACTAGGCATTAGTGATGGTTACGCGTTCAAGGTTAACGGTAATCACGGTTACGCATTATGCTTACACGTTACAATAAATTTTGCACATCGCGTCGCTTATTTTGCATGCTAGTGGCCGTTGTGGCCAAAACAACATTGAAACACTCCTGTCCGTATTGGCCGTATTTAGAGATGTACTCTCAAACCGAGGTGATACGTCAAATGGTATGTTCTTTGCGGTGAACGCACATTTTCGTCTTTTTTGGGTTAAACTGGACTAGATTTAGTCGGCTCCAATCTGATAAGCTAAGGAAGTTTCAATTTCAGACAAAGTTTGTTTTGACTCTCGATGACGTTTTCCCGAGAAATATTGGAGCTCGATGCTGCGATTAAAAATTAATTATTTGTAATATAGTTAGACTAAATTTGAAAATATTTAAAAGTAAGTATTTTCGAGCAATATTCTTTTATTATTTTGTGTCAATCTTAGTAGATAGACATATAATATTGCTATATTTCAATAGAACTTTTGAGGGGTTAATCCATACTTAATATATTGTTTATATATTGGGGTACGCGTCGCACGTGAGTTTACATCCCAGACGCCATGAGACATGACAAAATTTATACGAATCGGCGTTATATTTCTGCATGTAATGTAAATGTATACTTAAGTATAAAAGCTTAACGAATTGTACAGAACTCCATGAATCATTTCATTCAACAGTGAGAACCGTTTGAAAATCTGTTTGGTACTTAGGAGTTCATTGCCTTTAGACAGACAGACAAAAGGGAAAACAGACGCGTCGGGGGACTTTTAAAATATTGTATACCTACTAAAAGTAAAAAACAAAACAAAAATGCAAAACTTAACAGCGACAGTAAAGTAAATATAGTATATAGTAAGGTAAATAAAAAATCTTATACTTATGTGAAAACCGATGAATTTAAGGACGCGAGAGTATTAATTAAATGAACGATTTCAAGGAGAGTATCTACGAACATCTTTTATTTTTATAAAATAAGTTAAGAAATGTTGTAGAATTGGCTTATGTAGTAAACACGAATTGGCGTACTATTGTGCAAATATGAATAATTAAATCATAAAGTACAGGATATTGTGCTAGGATTTTAATTTAGAGACTATTATAACACCGTAAGGCACTTTATTAGCACTTTTTTTTTTCAATCAGAAACAAGGTGATAAAAATATTATTCCAAGTTTGTGTTTGTCAAAAATATACCTAACCTAAGAATATTGTCACTACACGTCGTCATATTGTACATCTTGCTTTTATACTTACGTTTCAAATGTTTCAATATCATCTTCTGAAAATTTTAAGCTCAATTTTTTATCCTCGGTAACATTAAAGTTTTTAAAGCGAATGTACTCTGTACATTGCATAGTTATCGGCCCAGTTAGATTAGTTTTTGGGTCCCAGCACACATCATTAGTTTTAAGCAAAAGAGCTTGTCCTACTGGACAGCAATGGTTAACTGTTTTATTGTCGGCTATAACGTTATAAATACATAATAAAAATAATAATAAAGTAACTGCTTGTATACAATTCATCGTTAAATTTGTCAGAAACAGTTTAGTTATAAATCTGTTTTACTTATCTAATAAGTAATAATCTAATAAAGAATATAAATATGACATCCAAATAAACACTGGTTTTTCACATCACATACTAATAACTTCTCACAATGAATTAACACGAACGATTAAGATACGGCATGCCTGACGCCGAACTACGACCGAACTGAGTACAAGGAGTAAATTTAGCAAACAAGTATTATGGGAACTTCACACAGACGTTGATAATATAGGCGATTTCAGGCAGGGGTGATCGCGTAGACTTCTTATATTTGTGATCAGGTATTATAATCAATAAATTTACCATAACTTCCACTAAAAAATATGTCTATCCCACTTTCAACAAGTACGGCCATTTCAGGAGACACTCCAGCTTGGGCAAGACCGGTTTGCTCGATATTTCTTTTTTGTCTTAGACATTCTTTTAGATAAAGCATTTTGATACATACAGCTGCTAACATTACTTCAGTAGTAGCACAATGCTTCTACCGCAAACAGTGGTATTGACAGGACAAATAATAAAATGTATGATATCATCTTTTGCATTTCGATAATACGGAAAACTACTTATCTTTTAGTTGACCGCCATTCAGCATGGTAAGTATATGTATGTTACGTAGATTATTACTTACTTTGAGAACTTTGTAAGACTTGAGAAGAAGAAAAATAATCTCATACACATAGAAATGATTAATGCATAGAAAAGATCCAAACTTATCAAATAAAAGGCGTAATTCGAAATCTGAAAAATTGTGATAGGCTAAATGTGCAGGCTTTCTCCCTTTTGTGAGCGTTGTTTTCGGCTACGAGGAGTCTTCCCACCTCGACAACGGAGCCCCCGGATCCCCAGGACGTCCGAAGTAAGCCATCGGCAATGCCGATCGCCTCCTCGATTCGAGCCACAGGGTTCCCGACCCTGTAGCGCAGTTCCTCCAGGCTATTTCCAGCGGAGGTAGGGGCCCTGTCGCCTGCAACCTTCTCAAAAGCCCTGAGCAGGAGCTCACCCTCAGTCCTTTTTGATTCGGTGTTTTGCTTTTCCTTCGGGGCAGACCGACCAGTTTTGGGAGGTCTGCCTCAGCCACGAGCCCCTCGGCGGCTTGTGCCCAATTTGGCTGAGGTGCCCTCATTACTTGACGCCGACGCCATAGGGCTATTGTCCCCTGAGTCGGGCTGGCTGCGTCTTTTGCGCTTGTGAGCACCCCGCTGGTACTGCTCTGCAGCTGACACCATCGGGGTGCTCGCCCCACTCCTTTCTGAGGCAGTGTCAGAATCCAACACTACCCAATGTGTAGCCGCGTCCTTCGCGCTATTTTGGTCGCCGGATTTACCGCTCCGCCGTCTCCTTCTGCGAGCAAGTTATGCTTGCAAAGGAGATGGCGGAGCGAGACCGGGAGAGGTTTAGAACTCTCCCGGAGCGCCAGGCCCGGAAAAGGGCCAGGTACCGCAGACGACTCAGGCGCCGGAAGTCGCAGAATGACCTCCGTCCTCCATAAGCGCAGGCCTGGGGGTGGTAGGTGAGGCCATCTGTCACCTTAGCAGAAGCAGGCCGGGGTGGTGGCGAGACACACTTCGAAGCGCGCGCAAAGCAGGGGGAGCACAAAGAGGACATAGGGGTTCCCACACAGGAGGGGGTCATTTACGCGCCGTAGATGGCCCGAGGTACGTCGGGGTATCAGAGTTTTCCTTCCTAGGGTACACCTGGTACCCGAGACGGCGTGCGGTTTTTGGTTGGTTCGAGTCCGACATAACCACCGGTGGCTGGTATCCGAGGGGATTTCAGCACAGGAAAAAAAAGGCTAAATGTGCAATAAACATCCGAACATAATTATTATGCTAATAACGTTTTTTATCGTGTGGTGAGGCTGTAGAGACCTTAATAAATTAAATATTTTTGTTAAAACCAAAATGTTTTTGTTTTCTATAACTCTATTAGCACAGAGAATCTACATCCTTAATTAGATTATGTCAAATAAACTATTTACTTATCATATTCTTAGACTAGAACAAATTAAAATGCTAAAATACGTTGAAGTTTTTTTCATGTTATAAACAGAATACACGCATTATACAGAAAGCCGTAATTTTTATATCTGTCGCTGCTCATTTAAAACGTGTTTTTTTTTATTGTAGGATAAGCATTCGTACTGTAAGCATATAAATTGTAATGTACCTAACAATTATAATTTTTATATGTGACATTGATGATGTGAGACTCTTTAAATACATCGTAAGAGTTAAAGTTACAAGAACAAAGATTTTGATCGATCGCTATAAATATTTCGATTGGTGTTTTACAAAGTTTAGCAAGTTCATGTATTTTGTCTTAGTTTAATTTTTGAACAACCTAAGTCTTACTAGTAACCAGTTACGATAACTTTGGATGACAAGTATCAAATCACATCGAATCTTCTTTAGATTCAAAATACTAGAGTTTGTGTTCAATACAGAAAATGTTTATTTTAGCTGGTTAGGTTTACATTGACAAATCAATGTCTTATTTTCATTTTATAAATTTTCTTTTGTGTGATGCTTCTAACGCTGCTTAGGATAGGAGCCAGGACCAATATTAGTTTAGTTAATATGCCTTTCTCATAGTAGATGTTGTAACAGAGCTTACTCTTGTAAACTTTCAGTCAAAATTGTACCTGAATTGTCCCTTGCCTCTGGAGCCTGCTTTAAATTTGAAATTTATTTGCATGAGCAATAACTTCTCTACCTTACAGTAGTATTTTGTAGATTGTTGAAGGCATTGAATTCTATTAATTCAAATGTTTTAATAGTTTTTGCTTCTTTAGTCTTCCGCGCCTTTCGTGATTAATGAAAAGAGAGGTAGAACACTTTGCTAAAAAACAAAATGAACTACTAAGCTAAAAAACTAAATGAAACGTGATAAATTCGAAATAATTAAAAAACGTTTATAAGTGATATGCACTTATTTTATGATATTATACATATTCATTTATTGATGGTAGAACCACAAACAGAAACAAGCACATCGAAACCTAAAATGAAATGTTACAACTAGGGACTCTGTATTTTGGCTCCTGTTATAACGAAAGTATACGCGATATGTTATGTTTGTGTGGAATAGTTAACTCGGGCAATTCTATGGCGTGTGTATCAACCCGTTTAAAGTCACTGCCATTGACTTTACCAAATAACCTTTTGACAGACTTGCATCGGCATCGGTACCTTAAAAAAAGTATCACCGATCTCAACGCGCCTACATCATGATAAATTGTAATAAATTGAAGAAGAGACAAGAGAAGGTCGAGCCTTATGAGTAGAAAGGGCAAACAAACTCATTGCCACTCTTTTGTAATTTACAGATAGATACGATGGCATTATTAAATATACCACAACAGTATTTTGATGTGTGCTAGTCTGTCCGTTATTGAGGACTAAAAGGTAAAAAGACAATGAAGAGAAAACAAGATTAAGAAAAAAAAAGGAATAAAAGATAAAATGAAGTGAAACAAAAAAAGTAGAAAACAATAATAAACACACTAGCCCATACCACATTTTTACTCCTAAGCATTAATTAATCCGCTAACTAATTAATCCTAAGCATTTTTGTTTTCTACGTAATCCACAATTAAGTAATAGGCCCTCTGGCACAAGCCACGTTTTATTGCGGATTTAAATTTGTTAATACCACAATCTTGAATATTACTTGGGATTTTATTTTAAAATCGGACACATTGACCTTGAAAAGACTTGCTTATCTTTTGGAGCCTAGAGGCGGGTACTACAAGTTCTGGTATTTATAGAATGTACATCACTTCTTTTCAAAAGCTATCTTCGTTTTTATGAACATATATTACATTTTCATATAAACATACTATATTGACTTGCCACTGTCATTATGTTTATTTCTTTAAATTTCTGCCTCAATGAACAACGATTGCCTAAATTATAAAGTGCTCGAATCGCTCTCTTTTGCAGTACCTACAAAAATAGTTTTAATGTCGGCAACATTCCCCCACAGTAGAATACCGTACGACTACATGCTATGAAAATAACTGAAGTAAACCACTCGGGCTGTATCAACATCAGTCAACTCTCGATTTTTTTCTTACTGCATATGCTGCTGAGCTGAGTCTACTCGATAATTTATCAATATGTGGGCCCCACTGTAGCTTAGAATCTAGTGTTTTTGTTCATTTAAAATCAAATTGTTGACGTCAACAAAAATAACCACTTTCAAAATGGCGCTGCTTTCGTCTGTGAAATTAGGAAGTGTCCGTTTTAGTCTAAGTGATAGTGATGTATTATGTGCAAACAACACAATCTCGAGATTGTCCTTGACAAGGTGAGGTAAATCGTTATATATACTAAAAACAAAAATGGGCCGAGAGTAGAACCTTGTGGAACGCCAATTTCTACCACATAGCCTTATATGTCAATAATTTAAGCCCTAGCGGTGGTAATAACTCTTCCAATTTCAATGGGATCAAACAGGATGTACATAAATAAAGTAGAATCAGTTCATAAATGGCAGACTTTCAAGGCAACAAACATAAAAAATGCAACAGATTTACAGTTGCATAACAATTTGTTTACAAATTCACGCAACGTCGTTATCGATTTACTTGCTATCTTTGCTCATAGATTCGATCACACGAACATATTAAGAACTGTTTGTGCATAGTAAAATATTATGGTGAACATTAAAATGTTTAACATGTAACCTTCACCATCACGTACCTATCGGATTAAAGTGATCACTTAAGAACTCGTCACATTGTTTAAATTATCTATTTTATTTTTCTATCTTTCTTATCTATTTAGTTTTATTTTTGAAACCTTGCTTTCCAAATCTAATATAATAGGTCTTTACCTATGTAATTGCCGTTTTGTTTGCAATAAGTGAAAGTACTTATTTTTTCAAACTTTTTTATTTCTGTTATTCGAAGTAATCACCCATGCAATCGACGAATCTTTGCCAACGCATTGGCAGTTTATTGATGCCCTTCTTGTAAAAATCAGCTGGACGGGAGGCAACAAACTCTTCAAAGGCATTTTGTACTGCCTCTCGGGAATTGAATTTTTTACCCACTAAGCATTAATGCAGATGTGTACTGTGAAGAACTGGAGAGAATGATGGAGAAGCACACACATCTGCAACCAGCTTCGTCAAGAAGGCATCAATAAACTGCCAATGCGTTGGCAAATATGCGTCGATTGCATGGGTGATTATTTCGAATAACAGAAATAAAAAAGTTTGAAAAAATAAGTACTTTCACTTATTGCATACAAAACGGCAATTTCATAGGTAAAGACCTAATATTATTTCGTAGTGAAATGAATTTTTCACTTGTATAAGTCACTAGATATGCAATAAACACACTACTCGCACACACACACACACACACAACATCTCATCTTCTATTTATTAATGTGGTTTAGTACAACTACGAGTGCTACCGCCTTTGTGAATATTCATTTTTGTTTTGTTTATTTTTTATATATTTTTGTATTTTGTGTTTTTTTAAAAGCAAAACCCGCCGTAACTGGCTTCAGCTCGACCTACTGCACAAAATCTGTGTAACGCTGGTACCCATAACACAGAGTTTAATCTTAGCTTGGGTACCAGAATTCAGTACACAGTACCTACAAATCAATAATGATTTTGTTATTTGAGTTTATTCCATGAAGAACTTACAAACTATGTGAAGTCGTCTTTAGCGTAGATGTTAATCTTAATGTTGCATAAAATGAGTTCATTGTGTACTTACGGTGATCTAAAAGGCATTGTGCAGATTTTTTCAAGAACCAAATACGGTATCAAGGTCAAACTTCTCAAAGTTACATTCATAATTCATTAGTAGGTACGGTTTTACTTCGTGTGGTATAAGAATCAACATACTTTACATAATAGGTCTTTGCCTAGGGAGTTGAAGATTTTTAAACCAGCATTTTCAGATTTAATTATCTGTGGATTGGCGCACAATTCGAAATGCGATAACCGATATACACGCGGGCGGGAGCAAAAGCTAGTAAAAAACTCGCCCAATAAATAGAACCGAAAGAATTAGATTTTTTTTAGTTAGTTATGAAGATATAAAGAACATAAGTAGAAGAACAGAATAAACTATTAAAATTGTACTATATTAATGTAATTAGTAGACGAATAGAAGAAGTCAGCCGTCAGCTTGTCATCATTGAGTGAGCAGGGCGTCAATACGGGACCCTTTCCTTCCGACTTGCTTTCCGGTTCCGCCTCCTCTTTCTATGATGACATCATTACGAAGAAAGAGCAGCGCGGCGACGCGTGACGTCGCGCTGCTCATAATTATTCAATGGGCAAGATAAGTCAGGGACGCCACGTACTTGTAGCTAGATACTTTTATACATAAAAGTATAGGTACCTTACCTCCATGGTTGTGATTGTTCAAAATACGAAAAGTGTGACAAGGTAAATAAAATATGATACCTATTTACCGTAAATCCTTAATCCTTGTATTTGAATATTATAGCTATAGCGACTCGTTAATATTATAGCGATCATTACGCGTACGATAAATCACCTAAGATATGAAAATAAATGCTATAAATAGTAATCGTAAGTAGTTATGAATGAATTAAATGAAGGTACGAAACTATTTCGATTTGTACAGCCAATGAAACCAATAGTTGAAGCTAACATCAAATACCTACTTATATCTGCGGTTACGGTACTGACCCGTTGCATGCTTGTTTTAGACATAAACTACTGTTCTTGCTGATGTTCGCAATATCTTCTGTATCTTAAATAACATTCAAAATTAATTAACATATTTTTATTAACATTGATTACATTTCGAAATTGGTCCAAAAAACATCAGACTTAATAGAAACCCGTTTAAAACAATCCTTCAATTTCTCCGGTCTTGGTGTTCAGATCTATGTCATAAATGCTGGGTCTTGTAGGCAGCCCAGGCATGCGGGAGATCTCTCCAACCATGGGCACAACGAAGCCTGCTCCTACTGACACAAATATACCGTTGATACGCATCGTAAAACCAGTGGGCGCTCCCTTAATAGCTGGGTCGCCGGTTAGTGAGTTCGAAGTCTTAGCCATGCAGATCGGGAACTTGTCGTAACCCTGAAAAAAAGAAAAAAACCTTTGATAAAGTGTGGTCCAATATTTCAAAGATGATTTAATTATAACCTACGGTTAAACCACACTCCTAGAACAAATTTTACTGTTTGCGTTATATAATTTAATTGAAAAACTAAATATTCCTGCGTAAAATCCCTGTCACTGTTAAGTGAAACCAGTTACTTTTTATTAAACGCAACTCGGTGCTCTGTTCGGTAGAAAATAGGAAAGGAACTCCACTGCTGGGCATAGGCCAATCCTTAGAAAGGAGGTTTTGGCCTACTATACCACGCTGGCCAGACGGGTTGGTATGGGGTTCGTGTCGAGTTTTCCTTCGCTTTGTCCTGTGTAGTTCGTTCCATAAGTCGGCTCTTACGACACCCACGGAATACATAAGGATGGTGACACTACGTATTCTTAACCCGTCATCACACGGATACTTCCGAACACTAATAATTTTGCCAAAATATCTCTATGGATTTATATCATAATTTTAAGAGCACATTATTTTAACAATAGTAAACTATCCTTTTTCAAATAAGTTAAAGTCAAAAAACCTGCATTGCACCTCCGGGAATAGATTTAGGTGTGGACGTTTATTTTGTAAAGAGAAAGTATATGTAGATCCAATATTACAATTAAAATTAATGAATTTAAAAACAAGGTTTGATATATTACTTCAAGGTTTTAAAAAAATCCAAGATTTTATAAAAATAATTGCAATTGTATTTGACTTCATAGCTCTAATTTCAGGTTATTTTTATAACGCTATTGCGTAGGTATCATTTTATAAATAAAGATATTTACTGTATTTTTTTCCCACGTATTGAGGCACGCCTATTTACGGGTTATCGGGCACTTCTATAAATTCCGCACCGAATTTCCAGAGAAAAACCCATCTGTAATTTGCTGGTTCAATATTTACCAACTGCAATTTGATATCGTAATACATTCTTGACAGTTTATCAACAATTCTTTCAACTTTATATTTATACAAAATAACACAAAAATAAAAATAACCACTAAAGTTAAATCAAAATTTGATAAACAATAAAATCAAATCTTAATAAATATATCGCACCCTCGGTGCAACAAGTCACAACAGGTCATTTTGTAATTTTACAGGAACGGACTTTTAAGTTCTTTTTCGATCAATTTTCCTTTTTTCTAGATTACTACCTACAGCAGCCGGGATATCTCATTAAAATTATATTATTTGTTCTTTTAACTACAGTATCATGTAAAAAGATTTCTTTGATTTTATTAGAAAATTGAAAAAAAAAGGGAAACCAAAAAAAAGTCGTAACTTGTGACTATGTCGCACCAGGTACAAATATAATTTAATTATTTGAGCGTTATAATGGCACTTTGTTTTTTCAATATACGTGAATAAAAATTGTCATTAACACCTTTAAGCTGGTGTAGCTCCAAGTCACGACTGACTCATGCGGGCGCTCTTACCAATCATACTCTGTTCTCCCAATATTCGTCGAAAAAGTAGCAAGAACCACAAAGGCACTAATGCCATCTATCGATATATTCAAATACTTTCGCGGCTGTCTTTGATTTCCCAAACGAAGAAATGGTTTATAGACAATTTGGCATACTTAAGTCATTTTGGCAATTTTGCCTATTTGTGACTTTGTTGCACCGAGGGTGCGATATGTCAAATCTAATAAATATATTTGACCCGCAGAATAAACACAAGTAAATACGTCGCGACATTCAGGTTTTTCCAAAATAGCATTATTTAACGCAAAGATCTGGATTTAGGCAGAACTAATAATTGTTTCTGTAAATTACACCAATGAAGTGGGTATTCCCAATTTCAATACGAGAATACGCTCAATAATTTCATTCTTATTTGGTCAATAATTGTCTTAAACTGGACTAACAGGCAATCAAGGTCAAGCCGTCTGCTACCGACGCGAGTAAAAAATTATATATTCCATGTGTACACATGGGAAACTCTTACTGCTGCAAACGACATAAATGACCATGACTAATGTTATGAGTAGTCCATATAAATTGATAAAATTGATGAGTTTATTTGGATTGTTAAGATAACAGCTTGCGATTAACCTTAACCCATACGAACGTTTATTCAGACCCAAGGTTTATTAAAACAGAAAAACAAAATACGAAGTTACTTAGTTTTAGTAGCGAATGAAAAAAAAACAATTAATTATTCCTGTTTCAATAGTTTCTATTATGAATTAAAAAAACGTAATTTCTTATTCCTGTACGACTACTTGACTAGTTTTATGTGGCCGAAGACCCATAATTCAAAAAGTCAAATACCATTATAATAAACTTTGCTTTAGCGTTAAGTACTGGCGTGAAATTCGTGGTGTAAATAGGATAAGTGTTTTTCCGGAGGTGAGGATCGCTCTTGTTATTTGAAAATTCAAAATCTATATCACTTGATATTTTAGGCATAAAATTGCACTAAGGCGACCCGAATACAGCTAACAGTGTCAAATGTTATTTCAATAATACTTATAAGATGCACAAAAATACTACTAACCATTTCAGTGAACTGCTTGATCTTTTCGATCACCTCATCTGTGTATTCGATCTTGCCAGCGCCGTACATTTCAGTGGCAATCTTCTTGATCTTGTCTTGAATGGATAAGTCGAGCGAGTACAAGAATTGGAAGTTAGAGGAGGCATCACAAGCCTCGATGACAGCGTCAGCCAGTTCTACGGCTCCCAGCCCACCCTTGGCCCAATGGTCACATAACACAGCCCTGAATGCGCCGTTCTTTAGTGCGTATTCTTTAACCATATTTAACTCTGCGAGAGTGTCGTTTCTGAAAAAGAAAAGCATTTTTTATGTTCCATCTATTTATTAACCTTTAAGGGCTACATAAAATACACGGTGATTTTGAAAGCGTTTTGGAAACGAAATATTTGAATTTGGAATCATCTATAGTACCAATAAAAATGATTAAATCAATTGTAATGTTGTCTAAAAAAAAGTTTCAGTTTTAATATTCATTTTTACTCGATCGACTTGGAAAGTAGTAATGGACTGATCGTTCATTCATTATCTTATATGAATGAAACACGTCCGTGGGCGTTTCGGCGGCCGCTGCGCACCGCCGACGCTAACAGCAGCTGACAAAACTATACCTATAGGCGCGAGCTAGCGAGTACTTACGTAGATAGACTCCAATTTGTCCTTCATACTTTACACGGGCTTAGGACCGTCAGAAATACCTATTTTATTTAAACTTCTTTTCGATTATTAACCACGATTGTTCTTTTCACAACAAATCAATTTATCAACGGACTGTAGGTATAAATATTTCAGGCGTATTTAAAAAATCGGAGCTATCTACAGAATAATTAACTTACATACCTATTTACACTATTTACAGTTCTCTGTATCGAAGGAACTGCTCAAAATGGAGTCCGCTGCATTCAATACACAAACGTCCACGTTTAATGCAATTGTTTTTTAATTTTCTTAATGTGTCTCTATCACTTTTCACTTTAAAGCGTCCACTATCGCAATGCGTAAATTATCACGGCTTTCATATTCCCGTGTATTAACAAGTCTTTTTATTTCCGACCATAAGAAAAAATCCAGGGGCGTTAAGTCCGATCACTAAGCTCATTGTCCAGGTATGCACGCACTACACTCCGGCGAATAATAATTAAAACGTCCTTGACCTTGCGCATGAGTAGGCGCACGAAATTGTCCGTGGTCGAGAAGACGTTGGGTTGCAGCCAAGATGGTAGGTGTGGAGGGAATTTGAGGGCTTTCAATTCCACGTAGCCGTAGTGCATTTAAATGCTCCGGCTTGGGAATACAAACGCCGAGCCTCTTCCAAGTTGTAGTTGGCAGTAGCGTACAGCTGTACCATTGCCAAGAAGTATTCCACGTTTGAAAATTCGTACTGTCGACTCATTTTAGCGCTAATCAATGCAGCGTGCCGTCACGATGTTATGGTATTACTGACCGACTGACGATGACAGGTGAGCCCCGCGCATGCGCCTACGGGGCAGACGTCATTGGTTGGACGACTCCGGCGCAACTCGGTAGCTTTGTTTTTATTGGCGAATACGATTTGATGTGACTCGATATTAAAACGCATAGTATTTCTATTCGTAGTATTTACCTACGTGTGATTGAATAGCCTACTACTACTGGTTCTGACTTTTTCTCTGTAAACGATATGAATATCGACTTTGATGATAAAAAAATATATATTTTATTAAATTAACGTTATATATAGCTTCTGTTACTGATAAATAACTCAAAATTTTCTTTTCCAAAACGCTTTCAAAATCACCGTGTATAGTATCAGATACAGATTTGATTTCTCCAATTTGAGAAACTAACATACGGCCCCCTCCTTATAGCCTAGAACTACTTGCAGAACGTGTGAGGTTTTTACTAATTTTAACGGGCCTGGTTGTTTAGTCTATTACTGATTCTGAGTCCTAAGTGAGACAACGATATCTTGGTTTTGATTCTCACCCAGAAAAAGTAATTGTGCGTTGAGCACGATCAATTGATCTACATATATCTTAGTATAGCTTATCTAATATATTATGTACTCGTATTTAGTAACGTGTACGTATGTTTATCAGTAGTCTGGTTACTTCTGTACAGAACTGACAGTTTTGGATCAGGGGCCTTGTGTAAGGTGACTATTGTTATTCTAAGAATAACCTCTTAGAATACCTAACAACAGTACAATTTAACCACTACTAAACCTAGGAAAACTCAGGTCTCGTTTTAAATTCTTTGGGTGTATATAGTTTTTGAAGTCTGTTTATCATCAAGCGATACCTGTGCTTGTCTCGCAATCTTAGTAAAAAAATGGTCTTTTTGTTGCCGATGTTAGAGATAGTCCCGTATCTTTCTTATGAAACTTACCCATGTTTATTAATGGCGATAACGACAGGTACTCCGAACTTGTTACCGTTGCTTATGTGTTTGCCCAAATTACATAATCCTTTGCTCAACAACTCAAGATTTTCCTGGAAACAAAAAATTTTCATTGCAGCATTAACATTGAACACATTTTGCTTTGAATGTTCTAAGAAGTTTAATTAGGCAAGTGGGTGAGGAAAAGTCGATCATAAAACTATAATAAACCGTATTCACAACTAGTAACGTCGTAAATAGTGGAATGTTTCTGTTGCCCCGATGGCCTGGTATCGGTAAAATGTATTTTTGTAGTAGCTAGATGATAAACCAAAATGTTTTGTTGATGAACACCTGCGTTAGATGTTACAATACGAACCAAATATGATTCAGCCGAACGAATGTTGTTGTAAACTAAAAATACGCCAAGTCTTTATAGGAATAAGTTTATTTAAAAAAAGAAACGATAATAGTATAAATACCAACTTCATAATTTTCTTAAGAACTCCTCAGTCGGGAGTCGCCACAAATGCAAAGAAGAAGAGTTCTTCCTCTTTGTGTTTGTGGCGACTCCCACATACAAAGAAACAGAAACATACTACAGCGCCATCTAACGAAGACACACCGAACTACTAAGTAACCCCTGAATGGGAATTGCTCATCCTCTTTCGCGATATGTAGAATTCTCTCGCTGATTAGCATATATACAACTTCCCAATATCAACTATTAGGCCGCGGCCCGGCAGGCATGATCACCTCGCCTGGTCGGAGATCCCTTTGTGTTGGAGCGACATCGCACCCGTTCCCCTACACATTCTTTTTTGTCATCATCATCATATTCATTAACAGCCTTTAATAATCTACTGCTGAACATCGGCCTCTCCGTAGAAAGGAGGTTTTTTGGCCAGACGGGTTGGTATAGGGTTTGTTTCAAGTTTTCCTTCTCTTTGCAATGCTGTTGTCCTGCGTAGTTTGTTCGATTAGTCAACTCTTACGACACCAACAGGATAAATAGGGGTGGTGGTGACACTCTGTTAAAAACTTAAACCGTCACCACACGGACAACTTTTTCTTTGTATTCCTTTTTAAACAAACTAGGAACACGAGCATAGCATATTATCAACACATAAGTTTTGGCTGGTTATGCATAACACAAGTATTTTACTTAGTTTGGAAACCAGTCTGTAACCATGGTGTCGTGACTACACTGTACATATTTTTATATTAATAATAAGGGAGAAATAAACATACCTATATTATTAATGTAGGAGTGCAAAAAACGAAAATTTTTAAACAAAATGTGCCATGCATAATGTTAAAATTAAAAATATATATGTAAAACAGCTACATAGAGATATTTTTGGCTATCATTTAGGATATGTCACGGTCCAAGAGTCAATTTTAGTTACACTGAAACAAAACAAGACATTCAAAACGGTCGAAATTTGCCGAAATCTCAACCTTATATATATTATTATTAAGTATGTGTTTTTAGTCGGTTAGAATATCTGAATAGTTCAGAACAAAGGCTGACTCAAGCTGGACTTAAAGTAGTAATATGTGTCATACAGTAAGACTAAAATAAATATTTTCTATAATTTATGTGTCTTATCTAAATGTAAAACGGTTAGTCAGACTCAAATTGGAGGAAAACTCTACTTCACTCCCCAGCAAAGAGGGAGACAAAATGAAGTAAAAATAGGCACACATCATTTTAAACAGGGAATACAAAATATTATGGGTCCTAAGTAAGCTATATTTGATTTTTATAATATGTACTGCCGAATCGCCCAAACGCACGGCTATGCAGCATTATATGTATTACGTTCGTTGTACCAGAGACTACATTCATAGAGGATATGATGAGCAGACTGTTTACAGTTTCTGTGTGTAGAACATCCATAAAAATAAAAAGCCTACCTGTACATAAACGTCGTGGAGAGGCTGGCCAGGCGAGACGGGCGGCCCCCCGCCGTGCATCTTGAGAGCTCTGACTGTGGACACGATCACTGCGCAGTGCGGCTTGTCGCCACTCGCGCGACACTTGATGTCGAAGAATTTCTCCATACCTAAAGGTGAATACTGACACTTAAAAATTCATCAATTTTTGTTGTTGTTATATATTTTTGTTTTTACATTTACATTTCCTAGGTAAAGAAACTTTCAGGTTTAAGTGAATAGTTTTTTCCCGCGCAGAGCAACTTTTAAACTCATTAGGATTAGATAATAACAAGAAAGCAATATGAAGTTAATAAACAATGATTATGAAAGTAAAGATTGCCCTGAGCATTAAGTCCATAAACCAATTTTGCATTGATTATGTTTTAAAATAAACAAATAAAATATATTTTGACAATGCTTTAGGTGCGATACATAGTAACAATTACAATCTTTATTACGAGTAAAGAATAACTCAATAAAAACGTAATTTGAAAGAAATTTTGAACCTATATCTGAACCGAAGCCAGCCTCAGTGGCAACGTATCCGTTCTCGCCGGCCAGCTTCATGGCGAGCTTGTCGGCGAGGATGGAGGAGCAGCCGTGTGCGATGTTGGCGAAGGGCCCCGTGTGCACCAGCACGGGCGAGCCCTCCAGCGACTGCATCAGCGTCGGCTCGAACGCGTCGCGCAGGAGCACCAGTAACGCGCCCGTCATGCCCTGTGCACCATATAAACACACTTATACTTACTACCAAAACTTCTTCATCTTAAATTAGTTTTCTTATATAATTCAAAGTTTTAAAATACCATGGATAGATGGCGATGGATACATTAGTCCAATAACCATTTTGTAGTTAAAATAAAAACGGATACCTATATAGTCCAAGTTTTCGACAGCTCTTAAAATCATTACATGGTAAATAACTGTGTTACTAAAAAAATCTTGAGGGAGTATAGGTACTGCACAATTCCTATTCCTTTTGTTTTTGTAGAATCTAGTGTAAAATCGTGTGAAAAATTACCTACTCCCACCAAACTCAGTGATACAGATTGTTTGATCAATTACTATCTAATTTGTACTCAGACATTATAGTTTACACTAATTTTATCCCATTAGCACTCCTGATAAAACAAACTTACCAAATCGTCAGCAGTAACAGGGTTCCCATTCTTATCCAGGGCTACCACCATGTTGGCGAGGCGTTCCTTGATATCATCGATGTCATTGCCCAGTGCAAGAATGGCCATGATCTCAGAGGCTACAGAGATATCGAACGCCGTTTCACGAGTAAAGCCCTTCTCAGTCGGCGACTGACCCACCGTAATCTTTCGTAAATATCTGTCGTTCAGATCCACAACTAAAAAAAACAGAATATTTAAAGTTTACGGACCATGAGTTACATGGAATAGCGTAAAAAAGATTCGATAAAGTGAAATAAGTGTTAAAGATAAAGCTAACCTCTGTTCCACATAATCTTGTTAGTGTCGATATTGAGCCTTGCAAACTTGACTTTCTCCTCATTCGTTAAACTATCAGGGTCGGTCTTGTTGATGCCCAAGCGTTTGAGCCTTCTCAACTGGATAGGCGAAAACTTCCTGATTCCCTTGACCTTGGGGACCAATCTATCGAACAGAGGCCCATCCTTCTGTGTCAGCTCGTGGAAGATGCGAGCGTCCATCTGCGCGGCTAGAAGGTTGTTTGCTGCGGTTACTGCATGGATGTCACCGGTTAAGTGCAAGTTGAATTCTTCCATTGGAATTACCTGACAAAAAACAGTAGATTTATTTCTTACAATACAACGTTTCGTTAGTTGTATTTAGGTTATGTTAAAGATATTCGATTTACTTATGTGTGTATACCGTCACTGCCACTGATTTGTGTGGCACCTAAAATTCCGTCGTGTCGTTCACCTCCTGTACAAAGGGCCCGTGTCGGGCGAAAAGAATTGAGTCATCCCCGATTTTTTTTAAACCTCGGTATATATGGATAAGTATACCTACATACGTACGAACCTAATCTAAAATATAAATAAATGTGTATTTAAACATTTAATCAAAAATACAAATACAAAAAAATACATTACCATTTTTCTGTTTATTACATCTTGTTTAGTAGATACTTCTTACAGTTTTATTGTATTAAAAGAATTGAGTACCTGTGAGTAGCCGCCTCCAGCAGCACCACCTTTGACTCCGAAGGTGGGCCCTTGACTCGGTTGTCGCATTACCGCAAACGAGTTGCGACCGCGGTGAGCGGACAGGGCCTGCACCAGACCCAGCAAGGTTGTGCTCTTGCCTTCACCCAGAGGAGTGGGTGTTATGCTGCAGATGTAGATAGACTATTATTGTAGAAAGATTTACAACGATGCCATGCCTTGATGACACTATTAATTTACCTTAGCCGATACAGATATTAATAATAGGTACACATAATGAAGTGTTTAGTGAAGTTTCAACCATTTTAGACATCTCTACCTATTTTTTTATTATCATTTTGTTTAAAGTAAATTCTAAATATACCTAGTTATTTCTACAGAATGTCTTTTGTACATTTTACTAGCACATTTACTGTTAAATAATTTTAAGTTATGTAAGGTGAACCTTGGCAGTTTGAGGACCAAGAGTTGCATCTCTGAGAACTTTAGCGTCACTCTCAGAAACAGTAGTTTTCTTTGACTTAGAATTTATGTTAATCTGTTTTAACGTCAACTAGAAAGTCGTTAGAGCCCGTCTATAAATTAGGTCACAAATGATTTATTTGTGACTGTGGTGGCCCATTAACGAGATGTGATGATGCTTGACTATTATTACTTTTTTTTTGTAATAATATATTTTTTTATTTATATTTATTTATTTATTTGTCAGAATATTGTTGAGGTACAGGTGTTAGACATAATATGACATCCATAATATTCTGCTGTTTCCAGCGTACAAATATTTTCAGGAAGGATTAGTAAATACAATGTCAAGAATTATTATATACAATGTCAAAAATGATTAAAAAATATGTCAAGAATTATTAAATATACTTGAGGATTATAAAATACAATGTAAAAAATTATTCAAAGCAATGTTATAGGTAATAAATTGAATTTAATTATTGAGAATATAAAGGCAAGTCGTCGTCTAATTTATAATTTGAGTCAAATTTTTCATTTAAAAACTCATTTGTTGAGTAGTAACACTTATACAATAGGAAGTCAAATAATTTCTTTTTAAATTTCATGAAGTTAAGGTTTTTAAAAACATTAGGTAATTTATTATAAACACGAATTGCCATACAGTAAACATTATTGGCAAATAATTTAATCCTTTGTTGGGGTACACATAATTTGTGGATATTTCGGCTTTTTCTTGTAACAACATCATTATGTACTGGAAATAAAGCTTTATTTTTATGTGCAAAGATACAGAGTTCGAATATGTATAAAGATGGGAGTGGTAATATTTTTAAATGTTTGAAGAGTGGGACACAGCTTTCTAATGGTTGGGCTTTAGTTATTGATCTAATGCATTTTTTCTGGGCTCGGAATGCTTTAATGATATCAACAGAATTACCCCATATAATAATGCCGTACCGGAGAATTGATGCTATGTAGCCGTGATAGGCATAGAGTGCAGCATTGATACCAGCTACGCGAGTCAGTCTGTACAAAACATATACAAATCTTTGCAGTTTAGTGCATAGTGTATCGATATGTTCTTTCCAGTTGCAATGTCTATCCAACGTTATACCCAAAAATGTAGCACTTTCAACCTCTTCTATAGCGTCATTTGCATACCTTATTTCTAATTGGTGACGTCTGCTGTTGTATGTTTGGAACTGTATAAGTTTAGTTTTACCGATATTAAACGTGTAAATTGTTGTCTTTTAACCATTCTATTATTTTGTTTAACGTGTCATTAATCTCTTTTTCGTATTTAGTGAAATTGTTATCGATGAGTTCAATACTAAGGGTTGTATCATCGGCATATAAAATGCATGAATATGGGGTTACATTGGGCAAATCGTTAATATATAGCAAAAACAATAGGGGCCCCAAGATACTGCCCTGGGGAACGCCACACGAGTTTTGGCGATAGGCGGATCTATACACTTTCTTTTCTGATAATATGTGTCTAGATATCTCCACGCATTGTTGGCGATTATTTAGGTAAGTCTCTAACCAGTGTAACGCATTTCCCCTAATACCATAACGGTTTGTATTAATGTAATATTTTAATTGCGAAATTATTGTTATTTAATTTTTTTTTGTTTGACATACTCGTATTAGTTGACAGTAATTTGAAAATGTTTATTTCCATTATAATTAATCTTCTTAACTTTTGCTATATTTCGTATGCCATAACTGGTAAAAAATGTAGTACATATCACCTACATATATAACATCTTCATGCAATGTAAAATTTGTACTGTATCACTCATGTTTAAACGAAATAAATAATTATATTCTATTCTATTCTTCTTGTAGCGTAATTTAGAGATGGGCCAGTTGAAGCCATTTATCCAGAAATTGACTTGATGAAGATTAGATGAATACGATGATATCTCACTAGATTACCAAGACCATAAGAATTTCACTGACCCAGCAACAACGATGTACTTCCCGCCGCGTGTATTTCTAAACCGTTCGAGCACAGAGAGTGAAATCTTAGCCTTGGTGCGTCCGTACTGCGACACCTCGTTCGGGAACAGACCAATCTCGTGAGCCAACTCGCTAATGTCCTTCGGCTTCTGAGAGCGGGCTATTACTATGTCGCTGCAATTTTAAACAAATCATTTGAATATTTCCTGTTAGACAAACATTTTAGTTAAGAAACATTTTAGTGATCGGAAAAGACTTGAAATTCATGATTTTTTAATTTTACACATAAGCTCATCACTAAATTACCAAAACTTATATTTAATGAACAGAAATCAAAAGAAAAAGAAATGACTTAGTTATACTTTGCCAAATATTTATTAATTTATATAAATGACTATAAACTACGTACATATTGTAGCAAAAGCATATAAAATAAATTCAAGTACTCGTCCACTCATCGAGTTTTATTTTCTCGTGCAACCTTGAATTAGCAACTTTACTATGCGAATAATATGAACCGAATAATGACCGAATTCGACCGATTTAAATGTTCCATGTGAAAGGGAGATGAAATACCTTGGTGGCGGCGATAAAGGTGTGATCCTGAGCGGTCTGAGTGGCCAGGTGGGAGCGAGCAAGCGGTTAAGCTGGCGGCGCGCGGCCAGCACGGTGTTGCGCATGAGCATCGCCACGGTCATGGGGCCCACGCCACCCGGCACCGGCGTCACGTGCGACGCCACAAGCGCGGCCTCCTCATACGCTACGTCGCCTACTAGACGTTTGCCGCTGGCCTTACTTGGATCTGTTTACATATCACTACTTAATTAGTGGATTGATAAACAAAGAAATTTAAATAAGTTATATTGGTGATGCAACAAAAGGCATTTTGCAATCTGTAATGCCTGTCTTTAATGTCCATTTTGTACTGGGTATTGTTTTTACTAAACCTAATAAGTTATAACAACCACATCAGAATTTTAACATATCTACAGAAAAAAAAAACAAATTGAGAACAAAATCTTTATCGATGTTGATTAAAAAATCTCGCATTGGTACAAATATCAGACATGTTTTACATTCGCCAACCAAATTTTTGAGTATTGTGAAATTATTCCAAAGGTGTACCTACTGTGAAAAGTTTAAAATGATGACAGATATGCTCACACGCTTTACACTTTCTGTCACTTTGGAAAACATAATTAGTAAAAGTCAAAAACAAAGCGTAGACCGACTGAATTATACGTAACTTCTCTCTGAAATCTATTCGCATTCTAAGTGTACAGACATAAACACGAATGCCCAAGCCTGAACTCTAAGACTACTAATTAATTTACAGATATCGAGAATAAAGAACAAACTTTTAAGAATTTGTGTACCTGGCAGACGTCGCCATAGTACACTTGTTGAGATATTATTATAAGTAGAAATAATACAAAGTACAATGAAAGACAAAAACTATTTAAAATCCTATAGATTTGAATAGGTACACAAACTTAAAACAACACAGTAAATTCAATTTATCATTAAATTATTTTATCGTTGTAAAATGAAGTTTAGTATTCTACAGTCAATAACACTTTTATAAAATATGCAGAGCTCACGTGAGAATTCTCCGCGAAGGCTCCCCGTTTTGCTTATAATCTGGCAGTTTTATACAATAGATACTTCATGACACAGTTTTTTTGCTATAATATACCTACCAACTACAAGTCTAAACCGTAGTTTTTACTCTGATAGCAGCAAACTAATGCATTAAAAATTGAAACTATATTATGAGTTCTAAATTTTCTTGCATTAAAATTAAATAAAAAAGATACTTTACACACGAATCATTTTAGTCGAAAGTTAATTTGTTTACACCGTTCTTTAGTACAGCGAATGACTACTACTGATTACTGTGGCATTATGAAGACGGATAAGCGTAAGGTGTTTTGTTTCGACCGCCTTCCGTCTATTGTCGGCCACATCGTACACTTTTACCAAAAACATCAATATTTTAACATCGTTTTGGCGTGAATAAATGTTTGATACTGCTGCCATTGTTCTTCAATTAATAATGACGTCATTTTTATTGTAATTGAATTGTAATAAACTGAGACCAGTTTCGAATGTACATAGGAAAACGACCGCGATAAGACTGTATATGAAATATTACACAATTTCTACCAAGCTAGCACAGCAACAACCTGATGACTAAGTCAGATTCATAATTAGAGAGTCTTTAATTAACCTGGTATTATGCCCTAAAACAAGTTTTAAAAATTATAAAAGTCAGGTCTTGAAAGTCAAAACTTAATAGTTCTTGTGTCATAAAAGTTTTGAGATATATTAAGCGTTGACGATTATGTCAATCCGCGTTTGGCCAGACATGGTATCTGACATGAATGAATGACATGACTAAAGAAATGTAATGAAAATTTTCTATAGAGAACACATTTATGCATTGCCCTTTTAAATAGTCGTTAACGTTTTGAAAAAATTGCTCGCAGCTGCAATTGCAAAAAGAAATCGACATCAGCACATCTAACTTTACACAAACATATGATCACCTTATGACGTTAGACCATATCATTAAGTAGTCGCGCACATTTATATTCTTAAATGCTGACTATTTAATGATCTGGTGAAACCAAATCGTGATGTGACCGATCATTTCAAGAAATTAAATAAACTGCCGCTTTATTCTACTAAAGATATGCAATTAGGCAGGGTGGAAGTCTATGGGTATGAACCAAGCAACCAATAAGGAATGGTGTTGATTAAAAATGAAAATTACGTACCGTCAATCGCATTAATGCCGCAGTCGATGACGACCGCTCCAGGTTTAATCCAAGATCCGCGGACCATTTCAGGTCTGCCGATGGCGACCACCAGAATGTCAGCAGTTTTAGTCTGGCAACATAAACAATATACTCTTAAAACCGTTATTATATGCAAAATGAAAACCACGTGATAAGCAGTTAATCGAGATGTTAAGGTTAATTAAAAAAATAAATTTGTTGTTCGAAGAAACGGCACCTGGGATATCACTGCCTACTTAAATGATAGTCATTTCCTAACTAGTAAAAAATAAATACTTTTGCTGTAGTCAGTGCTTGTAGTGTAGGATTAAAAATTAGATTTTATTTTGAAAATTTCGTTATGACTAAACACATATTATGTACCTAGCTAAGTCCCTTAAAATATACTATACTCACGATATCACTTAAGTTCTTAGTCTTGGAGTGGCAGACGGTAACAGTGGCGTTCTCCCACTTCAGTAACTCGGCGACAGGAGTCCCCACAATACGGCTACGACCCAAGACCACGACATTTTTGCCCGCGATGCTGACGCCAGCGCGTTTGATCAGTTCAATGCAGCCAGCAGGAGTACAGGGAACAAAGCCAGAGAAGTCGCCCACAGCAACGCGACCCTCGTTCACTGTGTTTAGCCTGAAGAAAAATCTTTTTTTTATATACATACATGTTATGCTTTTTTTCTTTTTCTTTTAAAAAAGACTACTCCCGCAATAGGAATAGATCCTGTGTCGCGGGGGACTTTACAAACATACATGAAACGGACTCAAAGAACACCCACACTCAGAACAACAATTTGTGAATCACGCAAAGTGTCGTCCCATGTGAAGATCGAACCCACAACACTCAGCGTAGTAGGAAGCGGCGAGGCGACCGCCTAAACCACTACGCCATCCGTATATCCGTATATCCATGCTGATATCCTTACAGGGTACACAAAGACGATAAAGAGCTATTTACTGCTGATATGACTTTCACGAGATGTGTTATATTCGGACGCTTACTACGAGTGCTTTTTACTTAGGTATTTCCAGAATGCTGGAGATCTCTTGAAGTATAATGTATTGCAGTGCCGACCCGCACTAAATCAGCCATCTGGACTCCCATAAATTTTACGCTTTCTAATCTGAGTTGCTGGAATTGTTATTTGGGATTGTTCCCAAATAACAATTCCAGAAAGTGAGCTATCTGGGAGAAACAGAATAAACGTTAAAGTTAAAAAGGCTGACGTCATCGCATTTGTTTGTCCAGCTCAAGCGCATCTTTTCGCGACACAAAACCATAGAGCAGGTTATTATAGCTTTCAGAAAATTTAACTGTTATCTTAAAACGCTGCGGAGACAATGCTTATATGTGTGTGTTACATCATACTGTTTGTTGAATTTGAAAGTATGACACAAATTCTGGTTGTATGGCATAACACTAACCAACTCGTATTCTAGACATTTGAAAAAAATGCAATATTAAAATGGCTTAGTAAACTCCTTCTCAGTGTTATTATTGATATAAAAAGTAGAAGTAAAATATTGACATGTTTACCCATCTACATCTTTGTCCGGGCTCACAGCATCAGTGATGATGTGGGGGTTTATTGGGTGTACAGTATCCAGTGGCATTTGGACAATGATCCCATGCACCGATGGAGACTCGTTCAAGCTCGTGATCTTTGCCAGCAACTGGAAATTTGCATGTAGATATTGCTTTAGATTGGATGAATAGACTGAGTGTTTGCAGATGGTGTTGTCTAACACAAAATTTAATACGTCTCAATGGCATCAGTTTCAAAACAATGTCAGTGTAATTTTAATGGTAAAACCATTTTCAGCACCTACTTATAAGCTATTTTTATTAAAAAGAATGATAAATTCGTAAAACAACGTGGAATGGGATAATGTATATATTTATTTATCTGATTGTTGACTACTTCTGCTAAACACAGCTTTCTTTTATAGTATAAGGAGGGAGCGAGCAGTCGGGTCACCTGATCGTAAGTAACTAACGCCGCCCATGGACACCTGCAGCTTATGAAACACAAGTGCATTACACAGGGCGTGCACACACACATTACACTGCGGTAACCGCACTCGGTGAAAAGCAACGAAAGAATTGCCTGGTTTCCAGAGAGACCATGGTGTCACTGATTATATCTATATAAATAAAGCTTAATTCTTTTATAAATAAAGATCACATCTATAAAAATAAAGCTTATTTATAAATTAGCTTTATTTTATCACATAATAATATGTTTATTAGTGTGATACTACATAAATGTATAAAAAATATTAATATATTGTGTGATTATTACACTTATTGTGAACAATACATACAAAAATATTTAGAAAAATTTAAATAAATGCAAAATACCTATACAAATACCGATACGAGCCTATTGATCTAGTGGTTAGCGATCCTGATTGCTAAGCCATAGGTCGGTGGTTCGGTTAGCGACCACAACAAGTAGGATAACATGTTTTTGCTCGAAATCAAGTCACTCGATAGCAGGTATATTAGTAGGGATCGATATTATTCAAGTTATATCATTGTAATAATAAGTGTGCGACTTAATTAAAAGAAAATATATATTTTAATGCGTTAGAGATAAGGTAGAAGCATTTATATAACTTTAATTTGCTATGTTGTGGTTTTGAGGATTACGAACTGTGACTTATGTTATCGCAAAATTGATAAATGAAGAAACTAGAATTCATCCGGTTTGTACTGTAACGAGGAGTACAGTATAAACTAGATTAATGCGGGTTCCTGCATATTGTCAAGTTACTTTATGCAAAGATGTTATAATAGACAGAAATATGTTTTATTTTTTTATAAGACAACTCCCGCACTAGGAATAGATCCTGTGTCACGGGGGACTTTACAAACATACATGAAACGGACTCAAAGAACACCCACACTCAGAACAACAATTTGTGGATCACGCAAAGTGTCGTCCCATGTGAGGATCGAACCCACAACACTCAGCGTAATAGTAAGCGGCGTGGCGACCGCTTAAACCACTACGCCGTCCGTGTAGTCGTTTACTTATTTACCTATTTTAAGGTTAATTTATATGATATCTCGAAGAGTTTATGCAACATGTAATATGCGATTTCTATAAGGAGCTTTTAGTATTCGTTTCATTTAGATATGTATTTATATATTTATGCAATAATACTTGTTTTATTATTTTTTAAAGATGAGATCATGACTTTGGCCGATTAGTTGGTTGTTACCAATGGCCAACTAGTCGAAACATCACTATTTTTTATGCCACCCTCTTACACAATCACAAACAAAAAACCTAAAACCATTCACATTATTCTTTGCACTTCTGTCGGTCCAAAGGTTACCTGGAAGACATCGCTCCTTGCGATAAGGTATCAAGATAAGCTGTATTGTATATTTGTTTTGTTTTTTTTATTATTATTTTTTTTTTTCTTTACCTACGTACAGCAATGATAGAATAAATTAATCAAATGTTATGTCATCAACTTATTACATTATGATTACATCAGGCAATGAAACAGTCAACTCGTACACAACAGAATTATCTTATCAAATGGCGGGGTTCAAGTTTAACACTTTTATGGTAAAATTACGACTAGCATTATATGGAATATTTTCTAAAAATCAAAGAGTGATGTTGTTTTAAACAATTGTCAGCCAATTAATATTTAGTGCAGGCGCTAGAGGTAAGTGGGTATTCAAAATGTGAGGACCGAATTCCACAAAAGGATTTGTAAAAAGGTCTAAAATTAATAATGTGGATCTTGCTGCAAATTTTTTTACTCCATTCCTTTTTTACCCCTTCTACTCTTACACTGGCCGACTACCCTGAGACCCAGAACCCAGAGTATACTTCTCCAATTTCTCACATTTTGCATACTAACTTGTCTCTGGCGCCCGGTTTAATACCTAGTGTTTATTTTTCAAATGTCATATACCTACATATATAAAACGCATAAATGCACTTCTTTTGTTTATTTAAATAAAAAATGTGTTATTTATTTTATAGCTTGAAAGTAGACAGAGGGGGTAGAAGGGTGAAAAATACTTTACGACCTATTTTCATACCTACCAAAGTTACAAAAAAATTGATTAAGATCGGTCGGTTATATTTTAGAAGATATATACCGGTGAGTGCCTTTTCTGTGAACTCTTTTGAGATAGGAAGAAATCTGACGCACGCTTGAAGATACTACAAGAACAAAAATAATTTGCTTCTTCCAAATGGCTAGTAGCTAGTGGTAGGTAGCGAGCCACCAGAAATGCCATTTCTTTGGTTGGCAAGGTTAAACTAAGAATTTTGACAGAAAAAGTAAAGAAGACACAGAAAAGAAGAAGTCAAAGAGTTTGTTTTTGAATTATTTTAGATTTTCTGGAAAATTGATCGAGATATGAATTATGAATGAAAACCTGCGATCCTGATTAAAATACACGTTTAAAATGATAAAGAGCAACATAAGTTATTTCATCTAGACTCACTTCGGTTTCAGTGATGTCACTAGGTAGCTTGATGTGCTCGGCTTCAACACCAATATTCTGAGCAGCCTTCAGCTTCATTCTGATATAGACATTGGAGTCCTCGCGACCGCCCACTTGCACTATCGCAAGTTTAGGTGAGAAGGCGGCTGATTGCACCTGAGCCTCCGCGACTTCTTGACGGAGCTCATTCTGGATGGATCTGAAGAACAAAGCATTCAATTAATAGGTCAATGTCAAACCGTTAGTTGTCTTCATCTCATATCGTCACTAATTGTTTAAGTCATTTTGGTCAACTTTACAGAGAGAAGGAAAAGGCAGAGTTTATAACGTAGGATATTATTAGTTAGATTAGTAGTTTCGTGCGAGAAAAGTAGTTTTATCCAAATTAAGACAATGAAATGTAAAAATACAAATTTTCGACTATCAATGTGGCAGTATTGATCGGCTAGCGGATTCTTTTATAAATGCGATATCAGCAGTTATTAATTTTGGGTATATTGTGTATGTGTATATCCATGTTCCCGGATATATTTGAAGACACTTCGCAAATTTAAAAGGAATCAGTTAGTTTAGTCGTTCGGCGATGATTGATGACACCCGCTTAAATAAATATTTAAGCTTTACTAGATTAACACTACAACTACCCACTTTTAATATTTTTTTAAATTCAAACAAGGAATTAATTTTTTTGTGTTACTATAACCACGATCTGTGCACTCCGTTCTTTTATGTCTATGAAGGTCAAATGCGGAATATTCAACGTGTAAGTGGGTGTACTTTCTACATACATGTTTATTTTCGTGTAGTGTAGAGTCAGTATATTATTTATTTAAAAGCTTAGAATACTTACAGCTAAAATAAAATTACAGTAAACTACACATTTGTTTTTACGAGTGGAAACCCCCTCAGGGCATCACCCCACCGGGGTGGTGTGTCGGAATCGGACCGACTAAAACCACACGGTGTGCTGTTATTAAGCCATCCGGACCACGGTAAACTATACGGGTTAGCTAATGACAAGTCACCACTTAGACAACCTTAGACAACATTAGGATTGGGATTATTCATGAGTACAATACTGTTTCATGTTCTTCCGAAGACATATACGGTTTCTCAAATAAACAGGACAAATATAAATCTCTCATCCGCACACAGCTCACTGGTATGTAGGTGTTTCACTTCTAAGCACTCAACTTGTAATTAAGTTCTTACTTTTTAATTTCTGTCTACGATGCACATACTTCCGATCTTGTGCTTCAGACCGATGTTTGTGTTGGTATTACTTATTCTATTAATTACTTTAAGCATTTAAACAAAAGAGTCACAAGGAATATTAATATTAACCCTGTTAACTAAAAAAAACAAATGAAGTTTGTATATTTTTTTGCATGATGTCTCTTGTAATTAAGAAAGCACATTAAATCGACCATTGTAAACCTAATATAGCATGTAAGGTGTATTCCTCGTTGGATACAAATTAAATAAAATAAAAATTATAAGTAAGTGGACAGACAAGGTATTCTACGAGTTCTTAGCTTATCTTAGATTAACAGAGTCTCCTCTCTAGACAGACATGTATAAATTCAAGTGTTTTTTCATAAAAATGAAAAGATAGTATTCCAAGTGACCGACTATAGAACGCACTTAAATAATTTTAAATGAGACAGTCTTAAAATTAGTTCAAATTCGAATAGTAAAAGAAAGGCAACCTACCCGGCTACACTTGTCCCCGAAATCGGTATAGCGACCATCTTGTGGATGGGTCCGGTATAGACTGTCAGCTACTTGGACGACAAACATCGCAAGATGCTGCTGACCCCTACAGATAACCTCGAAGATATTACTGACGTTTATTAGGGACTATGATAATATTTCTTCATCTGATCGTAGAGGTGTACCATCACACAGATTGCACATCTCTGTAATCGCACAACTTAAGGAAGAATTAAGTGAAGATTAACGATACAAGAAAGATACCGTTTGTCTTATCACCTCGATTTGGGAGCACCTCCCTAACTGCCTCAGTATCGGAATCATAGGCATAGACATATTGAACGAAGTCCAGTTTCGGGTTCACTTAGAGAATAAGGTCAAATTAGCCTCGAAGAAACTCGGTGTGCTGAAAAGATCGAGGTATTCGCAATCGAGTATTTCACTCCGCTATAGTACTTGCGGAGTGAAATACTCACCTTATAGGCGCAAGTCCGGCCGCAATTCTTATCTCTGTGCAGGGGAAACCCAGTATTAGCTTCTCTCTCTGGAACGCATCCAGCGAAGAGCTACTCTAATCGTCGGTAGCCAAATGATTTCCGATCGGTTCGCCCCTTCGGCGTTACGTAGACATGTAGCTTTACTCTGCATTCGTATATATCATAGAGGATGCTTCGAGGAATTGTTCGGACTAACACCGGCCGCAACTTTCCACCATCGTTTCACACGGCAAACTTTTCATCCATTAGTGTCTTGGATATTTGACACTCCACCAGTTTGCGCTTTTTAAGATGCTTCGTACAACTAATCTGTGGGACAAATTATCGTCTCCGGTATTTAAAGACCGATACGACCTTTAAACCTTCAAGAAACTAGCGTACTATTTCCTCAAAGGCCAGCAATGCGCTTGTGACTTTTGAATTGCAGGCGTTCATGGACGGCGGTAGTTACTTTCCATCAGGTGATACATCCAAGAAAAAAGCCTTCGTGGTTAAAAAATTTAAGAAGAGCTAAACGTTTGAGGTGGTAACTGGGACTCAAACCGACTAAAACCATACAGTGAACTCCTTCGCGGAGGCTTATGCAATAACTTCAAGTTTACTCACGAAAACAAAACCTTGACAACTCCAACAGACTAGGCCGCTTATTTTACAACAAGTGACTACCACTACAGCGCTCACGTAGGGCAGAGATTGTCTTGTTCGATCCGGAGCCCGGCACGACTCTAAGACGACTCCTTGGCACACATGACTTCTTCGTAAAACCAGGCAGTAAAATCCCACGCGTTCACGTACTACGAATTCTACGATATGATGACGATGATCTAGCCAGAAGAGGTTTCATGATCGTAGCAGTTGGAGCGGAACCAGTAGTTTCTTAACTTTCTGGATAGCCTACTGCACAGTCATATGACATAAAACTAAGGTAGTTACTTAACAGACAATTAACTAATTATCTGAGTATCAAAATATAGAGTGTCACCGCCTCTATTCAGCGGACTAAAGGAGCAAACTCTGCAAGATAACACCACTGCAAAGAGAAGGAAAACTTTACAGAAACCTTATACCATGCAGCCAAAACCTCCTTTCTAAGAAGCGGGCTATGTCATGCAGGAGACTATTAGAGGCTGTTATGATGATGATTTAAAAGACTATCGTCTACGCGCCTAAAGGATAACAAATTGTAATAAGCTCTTTTTTTTCAATTGCACCTTAACCTTCTAGCCCTTAAGGGGGAATATTTTCTTCAAATCAAATTCAGAAAAACCTTTAATACATTTGTTTTTATAATTAATAACTGAAAATTTTACCTGAATACAGATACGTCCTCATTTTGAATTTGAATTTACGTTTCATTAACGAAAATAGCTAGAAAAGCATTACGATGTTATTATTGTCAAAATACCTTTATATTACACTTTTCTGAGACCTAATAATACTGAAGGGAATATTTTACAAAAATATTTTTCACTCTTATGTGAGGTGAGTTGTAGAGACTGAAACATAATACACACTGGCGCACAGAAACTTTATACGTATATACCCATTATACCTTCAACAAAGAATAGAATATAATATTCTTTATTATACACCACATACATATGTTAGATAAATATTACAGACGTATATGTACAATGAGCGGCCTTAATTGGGTGCTAAAGGCAATCCCTTGCAGGCAATCTTAGAAGCTACAGTAGTGTAAAAATAAATATATAGCTTATATACATATAAATATACATCTATACATACATACATATACATACATAAATAATATATACAATATATATTGATAACCATCAAACCATTTAGTCATGTACAGTTATTGAAAGCAAAGAGTAGGTACTTAAGAATGAAAGTAGTGATTTTTGACCATATTATTAAATGCTGTCAGTGTTTGGGCACGTCCTATGAATATCGGGAAAGCGTTCCATAATCTGCCAGCCTGCACTATGAATGACTTGTCATAGAATATTATAGTGTGGCTAGGTAGCATTATCTCCAAAGATTCCGAGGACCTCAAGGATCTTAGATGTGTGTCACTGAGGAACACAAAATGTTCCTTTAAGTAAGATGGGGTAGGTGGATTATTCGAAATTCAGACACATGATCATATTTGCGTAAACCAAATATGAATATAATGCAGAAATCTTGAAGGCGTTCGAGTTTTTCAAGTTGCACCTCAGTGATATCGAGATAGCTAACATCAGCGTAATCGAGTATAGGAAGGAGCAGGGATTCAGCTAGCGACCAATGTGAGCATTTTTAGTGACCATTGGTAGAAAGTTGCGATGTCTTCGCAGTGAGACCGCCGATGCAAATATTTTTCTACTAACTTCGCATAATTGGGGGCGCCAAGATAAAGTACTATCAATCACTATGCCTGGGTTCTTAACACAACTACTAATCCAGAGTACAAAATCATTTAATTTTATGTCAGGTAATTCAGACCAGTTGATTTTAGAGTGCATCCTGGGACTTCCCACAACAATGACTTAGGTTTTTCATGGATTAACAACTAGTCCATACTGGCTTCTACATTTCCACACCCGCGCCAAATCCAAGTTCATAACAGTGAAAACTTCAGACAGTTTGTTTAATGGAGCTTGCGTATGAATTTGAAGATCATCTGCGTAAAGGTGGTAGGAGAGTAATGATTTAGAAATATAATTAATAAAAATGGTGAAAAGCAAAGGAGATAAAACGCCACCTGTGGTACTCCAGCAGACGTATTACACCACGAGAAAAAGGATTCCTCAACGCACACATGCTGTCTTCGACCTAACAAGTAACTATAATAATAATAATAATAATAAAAATTCTTTATTTAAAACTAAAAACACAGATTACAATATTTCAAATGTGTTTGATAATGACTGCATTAGTGAAACACTGTGGCGCAGTCACTAACGCCCACCTTTGGATCTGATGCAAAAGTTCCATTTTATTCTACCACATTACAACTCTAAAAACTAAGCATGTGGAGTAAAACGTTGAGGATTTGAAAGTGTATGTGTGTTGTGTGTGTGTGTGTGTGCACGTGTGTGTGTGTGTCTGTGCGAGCGTGTGTGTGTGTGTGAGAAGAGAGCGTATGTATGTGTATCTGTGTGAGCGTGCCTGCGTGTGGGAGTGCATGTGAGTGTGCGTGTTTCGTTATATAATAGATGCGACTAAGTCTTCGGTGTCTTCGTAAGTTAGACCAAGCAGCCATTCAGTAACTCGCGATTTACATTCTCGCATAATAGTGGGATAAATGTTCAAAATTTTATTTACTTTGTTATACAATGAGGGGGCAAAGAAGTAGAAGTGTCGCTTAGCAAGTTGCGATTTACACAATTGTATTATGCAAACTTTATCTATTCTTCGTTTTTCTATATTAGAAATATAAGGGAGATCTGCGTGTTTACGAAGTAAAACCGTTAATAAGAAGAGCTTTCTTACTGTTAAAATTTTTAACTCATGGTATAGCTGAGATGTAGCGTACCATATGGGCTTAAATGACATGATTTTTAATACACCCCGGTGAGCTCTTTCGAGAGTAAGGAGTTTGACTTTACCTGCACAGCCCCAGGCCGCGATACAATATCCTGCCACTATGAAACCAATGAATCACCGTTGAAGATATGTTAATAGAGCGTAAAATGACTAGCAAGATGTCGAAGTCTACCGTATTAAACGCATTGCTGAAATCTAGTAGGGAGAGTACTGTAAGTTTACCGTGCTCCATACTCAGCCTGATGTCATCACTGACATTGATTAGCGCGCTTACCGTGCTGTGGCCAGTACTTAAGCCCGATTGATAGGGATTTAAAAGATGGTTTTGCATTAGCTAAGTAGTTACTTAGTAGAGTGTGGACGTGGCGTTCGAAGACTTTTGACAGAAAAGACAATACGGAAATTGGACGATAGTCGGAGAAGAATGAAGGATTGGGTTTCGAAGGTAGTGGAATAATCTGTGCCTCTTTCCAGATATCGGGAAATACACTATTAGTGAGAGAGATATTTAAAATGTGGCAAAATATGGGAAGGATTTCATCGACAATAGGCTAATCATATTATGACTTATGCAGTCACTTCTAACAGCACTGGAAGTGTTATGCATAAGACATGAAACACTTCTTAACTGCAGCAACTTCTAACACAAGCAGTAATTTGATGAAAAAATAACGGAGAAAAGTCAGGAGTTGGAAGTGATGAAAGATATTTTAGCTTTACAGGTCTTCCTGCAATTAGACGACGAAGAGGAAATGTGCATTTAACGAATCAATATTATTATTTTTAGGAACAGTATTTAAATGTGACATTCCAAATTCGAGTATTCTAAGAAATTTCCACACTTTCGCTGGATCTCCGTTCTCGACCGAATTGAAAATGTATTGGCGTTGTGCTTTCCTACAAGCCTTGCTGCAGAGATTTTATATGGCTATATATTTATCCCTTATTGGAGTAGAGTTAGGAAAATTATGAATGGTATTTAAAGGCAAGGTAGATAAGTTACATGACTCGGCACCACTGGTGAAAGAGGAAGTACGGGAGTCTGTTTG